TACTACTACTTCACGCATCTGAGAGTTGGGTAAGCCGTAATTTTTAACATAACCAAGCTGTTATATTTCAAATGTATGAAAACAATGCAATGAGATTCTCCGAGTTTTTATCAAACTTTGGAATGGTTCTCAACATTCTTAACCCCCCAAAAAAAACGAAATATTGATTTTATTCTCCCGCCCCCACCTCCATTTCACGTTCAGATAATCGATGTCCAAAAAATAGAGATACGGGTAATCGAAGAATTCTTAGATTGATTGACTGATTTATATGTATACCGGCATATCAACATCCTTATGCGTCATTTAATGCCGAAATTTAATTATCTTAGGCGATTAGTATTAATAAAAATATATGTTATTCTGCTTTCACAATTGAATACATGGTAGATGATACTCAGCTTTTGTGCATATGCATGTTTGTGTGGACATAATTATTCGAGATATCTGTGTTTTATGCTGTAGTTTTGTTGAATTTATATTTTGGAATACAGTTTGATTTAAGAAATTGTAGGATATTATATGGATTACTGTCATGAAAGAGTTCTTTCTTGTTGGTTGGTTGATTTTGTTTAGCGGCATATCAATACCTCTATGGGTTATTTAATTTGGAAATCTAAATAATATTGAACGCACTTGTATGCCTTCAACCACAGATAAAATATCTTGTTGGTTATTCTACTATAAATAGATATTGTTGGTCATATTTTTAATATAAAAATGTATTTTTATACTGTCATAGTGTTTTGTTTTGGGTGTTCACTATTTGCCCATAGTAAGGACCCTAACAGGTGCTACCACCACGGGTCAGGGTGGGTCTGGGAAGAAAAGCAATTAAGAAGTCATTCTACGCTCTTCAAAACCTCCACTCTTCTGATGAGAAGCCTTGCTACCACATGAAGCTTATAGTGATATGAAGATGTGGAGAACCATGATCACCAACTCCTTGAATAGATACAACACATAAGTAATGATGATACTAAGGGAGCTATGACCTGATAGGCATTACTTTCATGAAAATATACATACATTAGGTTGTGTTAAATGTTTGTTCGTATTTCAATCTTTAATTAATAGTTCAAATAAATTGCATAGGAAAAGCGTTTAGTCATTAAAATATATTCCCATCGATGTTTCAGAGGCTCAATTCAAAGCTTATACTATTTCACTGGTTTAAAGGCAAAAAACAAAATCTCAACACCCGTTTCAAACCTCATTCACATTGTTGAACCTCCGTCCACTCGATATTGACACTGTGTGATGGGGGCACTGTCATGCGCGTCTTCGACTGACCAATGCCGGGTAGTGGGGCCTTCAAAGCATCATATACCTGTTGCAGTTGTTGAACAAGAAGGTCAGCATTCACAGCAGGATCATCTGGAACAAGCACTCAGCACCCGTTTTCAACTTCATCTACATTGTTGAACCTTCGTCCGCTCAGGAAATGAGCCATGGCTCGAAAGAGGTGGTAATTTGATGGTGAGAGGTCTGAACTGTAGGTTGCACTTGCAGCACCTGAAGTCACTCAAGTTTCCACTTAGCAGCGTGGCCTGGGGCATTGTCCTGCCGTAAGAGTGCGCATCTTCGATTAGCAACTGCCGTGTACTGGACATTTAAAGCATCATCGACTCACTGCAGTTGCTTAGCCTAAAGGTTAGCGTTCACTGCATGGTCATCTGATACACGTTCAAAGTGCACCACCCCCTCTAAACACCACCATTGTTCAACCTCCGTCCGTTCAGGAAATGAACCATGGCTCGAAAGAGGAGGTAAATTGATGGCGTGAGGTCCGATTTCAGTCAGCACTTCCACGCTTCAAGTTTGTGCTCGGTGATATTGGCAGTGTGTGCTGGGGGCACTGTCATGCGCGTCTTCGATTGACCAATGCCGGGGAGTGGGGCCTTCAAAGCATCATATACCTGTTGCAGTTGTTGAACAAGAAGGTCAGCGTTCGCAGCATGATCATCTGGAACAAGCTCAAAGAACATTAATCCAGAACTATCTTAGCGCAGCAACAAGTCAAACAGAGCCAAGTAATCTCGTGATAATTTTCATTGAGCGTAACCTTTCGATGAGCGTGACCTTTCGATGAGCGTGACCTTTCCGAAGAGATTGATTTAGATGTGACTACAGATGTAGAGTTGAGGAACGCTAGAAAAATTAACATTTAAAATTACGATGTTTGTTTTTGTTATTGTTGCTACTGCTCTTTATTTATTTATTTATTTACTAGGTTTAGTCAAAAGTTTTTTCATATTTCAAGCTTTAATTATTAGTTCAAACAAATTACATAAGAAAAGCGTTTATTTATCAAAATATATCCCATTATATTCTATTGTCTGTCGCCATCGATGTGACATAAGCTCAATTCCAAACTTATGCCATTTGACTGGTTTAGAGGTAAAAAAAAACTCTCAGCGCCTGTTTTCAACCTCATCTACACTGTTGAACCTCCGTCCGTTCGAGAAATGAGGCATGGCTCGAAAGAGGTGGTAATTTGATGTTGAGAGGTTTGGACTCTAGGCAGCATTTCCAGCATCTCAAGTTCCTCAAGTTTCCCCTTAGTGTGGGCTGGAGCATTATCTTGCTGTAAGAATGCGCATATTCGATTGGCAACTGCCGTGTAGCGGACATTCAAAACATTGTAGACTCGCTGCAGTTGCTTCGCATAAAGGTCAGCTTTCACAGATTGGCCATCTGATGCACGTTGAAAGTGTAACACCTCCTCGAACGTCCAACATTGTTGAACCTTCGTCCGCACGGGAAATGAGCCATGCCTCGAAAGAGATGGTAGATTGATAGTGAGTGGTCTGGCAGATTGAGGCAGCACTTCCAGCGCCTCAACTTCTTCAAGTTTCCCCTTAGCAGTGTAGACTGGAGCATTGTCCCGCTGTAAGAGTGTGAATATTCGATTGGTAACTGCCATGTAGCGGACATTCAAAGTATCATAGACTCGCTGTAGTTGCTTAGCATAAAGGTCAACGTTCATTGGATGGCCATCTCATACACGTTGAAAGTGTAACACCTCCTTGAAAGTCCACCATTGTTGGACCTTCGAACACACATGACCTTCTGATTAAACCACCTGGTATTTTCTAACTAGATTTCGCAGAGAGATTTAAAGATTTTCTCACTATGTTCAGATTATCTCCGTGGCTGACCAACCTTTGATAGAATGGAGTAACTATAGATGTGAGGGGAGCAACACTGCCATCACAACTTCCGGAGACGCTAAAATTTCCGCTTAATAAAATGAAAACCTCTGACATAATAAACGGGACAAAGATTAGATGCGAATTTCCTTCAAACCAATTATGGAAGGAAAAGAGGAAATGATAACTGCGGCATCAAGTGACCAAAATGGCATCACAAGAAAATACTCCAAGAAATTATCAAGCACTACAAATGTCGGTTTGCCTAAATTGACTCGGCTTGAGCAATTCTCAGAGCCGGCGATTGGAGATGGAGAGAAAAATGGGAGTGCAACTGTAACTAGAGAAAGGTTTCCTGTTTGAGAGAGAAAAGTATATCTTGCATTGGTTAACTACCAAGTGGACATTCGACATAAGATAGAAAGAGTGGGACGATAGGAGAAAGATAGTAGAACAGAAAAGAAAGGAAAGGAGGAAAGAAAGAAAGATTGGCACAATATGAGGGAGACAAAGAAAGAAAGAAAGAAAGAAAGAAAGAAAGAAAAAAAGAAAGAAAGAGTAGGGCTATATGAGGAAGGCAATAGAACAAAGAAAAAAAGAAAGAGTGGGGCGATATGAGGGCGACAATAAAAAGAAAGAAAGAAAGAAAGAAAGAAAGAAAGAAAAGAAAGAAAGAGAGAAAGAAAGAAGGATACTGTAAACGAAAAGCTAAGAATACGAAACAAACAGGTTTGGAGAAGAAAGAAAGAAAGAAAGAAAGAAAGAAAAAAAGAAAGAAAGAGAGAAAGAAAGAAGGATACTGTAAACGAAAAGCTAAGAATACGAAACAAACAGGTTTGGAAAGAAAGAAAGAAAAAGAAAGAAAGAAAGAAAGAAAGAAAGAGTACGACTATAAGGAGGGAGGCAATAGAACAAAGGAAAAGAAAGAGGGCGATATGAGGGCGACAAAAGAAAGAAAGAAAGAAAGAAAGAAAGAAAGAAAGAAAGAAAGAAAGAGAGAAAGAGAGAAAGAAAGAAGGATACTGTAAACGAAAAGCTAAGAATACGAAACAAACAGGTTTGGAGAAGAAAGAAAGAAAGAAAGAAAGAAAGAAAGAAAGAAAGAAAGAAAGAAAGAAAGAGTACGACTATATGAGGGAGGCAATAGAACAAAGGAAAAAGAAAGAGTGGCGATATGAGGGCGACAAGAGAAAGAAAGAAAGAAAGAAAGAAAGAAAGAAAGAAAGAAAGAAAGAATGAATGAATGAATGAATGAAATGAAAAAAGAATGAATGAATGAATGAAAGATTAGCACGATATCCTGAGAGGCAATAGAACAAAAAAGAAAGAAAGAGTAGGACTATATGAGAGAGGCAATAAAGCAAAGAAAGAAAGAAAGAAAGAAAAAAGTGGGACAATATGGGAGAGACAATAGAAGAAAGAACGAACGAAAGAAAGAAAGAGTGGGATAATAAGAGAGAAGCAATAGAAGAAAGAAAGAAAGAAAGAAAGAAAGAAAGAAAGAAAGAGTGAGCAGATATTATGAGAGAGGCAATATAACAAAAAGAAATAGAGAGAGAAAGTAAGAAAGAGTAGGGCTATATGAGGGAGGCAATAAAACTAAGAAAGAAAGAAAGAAAGAAATAAAAGAAAGAAAGAAAAAAAAAAAGAAAGGGTGAAGCCACATGAATGAAACGATAGAATAAAATGAAAGAAAGAAAAGCTACAACTATGAGAGGCAAGAGTAGAATAGAAAGAAAGACAAGAGGATTCAGGGTTTGAAGAGCTTTGACTTTCCCAAAAGTATTTCCGCGTCAATGAATACAACGATGTCAACAGGAATTGAAACTCGGCTCTCTGATTAACAAT